ATGGACGACCCGTTGAGTGCTGTCGACACCTCTGTTGCCGAACATATATTCCATAAGTAATGCCATTAATAGTCATATGAGACACACCTATCAGTCCTACCTGTCCTCTAACCTGCCTTTCCATCAGATGTATAGTGGAGTACTTGTCGGACAAAATCCGGATTCTAGTCACCCATCAAATCCAATTCATACGAAAAGCCACACAAATACTGGTCTTAAGCCCAGAGGGCCGGTGCCTGGGGTTGGGCTCATACGACGAACTCCAGTCCCAGGGCCTGGACTTCATGGCAATACTGAGTGACGCGGAACGGGAGGCCGTACACGACAAACAGGAACGGGAGCTCACGATGAGGTCGTTCTCCAACAATAGTTATAACACCAAACAGACGGCTAACCCCACGGAGACCCTCCTGACGGAGTCAACCAATGACAGGGTCGGGAGGGACTCCCGGAGCACATCCGTGGCTCAGACCGAGAACATCGAGGTCTCCGACATTATGGGCGATGAGGAGGACTACTCGCATGAGCCCAGGATTCAGGCGGAGAACCGGGAGGTGGGCTCTATCGGGCGACACGTCTACTATGAGTACGTGAAGGCCGGTGCCGGACCCGTACTCTTCACGATTACCTTGTTCTCGACACTTGTATCTCAGGGTTTGATACATTACTCCGATTTATGGCTCACTAAATGGTAAGGGATTATAAGCATGTATAGTATTTTACATGAGGTCGATACTAAATAATATTATATCTATCTATATATCCTTTATGACAAATATACTAGGTCAAAGTGACTAATACGTAGAGTTCGATATTATCATTATACCATACAATAGCCTATTGTCAATAGGTATTACAGTAATTGACAATTACTAATTGTATTTAAAGAATACCAGTGCACTACCAGGGTATGCATTGTAATTTATAATTTGTAATGATTATATAATTGTTTACGAAAACTATAAATTATAGTTGACCCAGTGGAGTTTATTAAAGTTAATTTAATTTTAAACACTTTATATGGAAATGATATAATAGTATTAGAAATTTTGTTAAATTGTTAAACTTTGCTAAATTGTACATGTCAATTATTGTTTGCATTCAGGACTGACAAAAATCAAAAGGCTAATGCAATTGACCAGGATACACAGTACTATTACGTCTACGTCTATTCGGGACTCATTGGGGCCCTGTTTGTGACGGCGCTAATGCG